CATGGCTGCGACATTTAAAAACTGGTGACATCCTTAATTAATGGCTTGTGGAGGCGGTTTGGATGAAATATTTGACACTTGTAGATGAGCGCTTTCACTCCCGTATAAGTTTCACGTATGCTACGGCTCTACCCTGGTCCTCAAATCACATTCGGTCCCTTAATTAACTGTACAAGTCGCCAACTGAGAGACTCTATTCCGCTGTAACGAAACTGAAGGTCTGTGTAACAGAAAGTCCGCCCTCCATTTAGTTATAAAGGGTAGGGTTAGCCTGACCAAAATCTAGGGGGAGGTTTATCTGTACAAATGAATGGGAAGCGGACTCTCTGTTATGGGGGGTTCTCTGTCACGTTGAATCGTACATAAAAGGTTCACTCCTGAATTTCAAGGACACGTGTGTGTAAGTTGCTGCTGCGGGTATTTTTTTTCAGGCTTGTTCAGAAGGAGACTTAAAGGCAGACACTGAGTACCACATCTTAATATAGCAAATATATATTGCATGATTACAGATCAATTTTCCTGGATTTTTTTTTCTTTTTGCAATTTCGTTATAAGCTTCGAGGTACAACATATCCAGAATTGTTGAGAAAATCGTTATCTATAAACCCGAGTTTGAGTTTTAAATTTATTGTTTTTTTTACCTTTCTTAGTAGAAATATACAAAATATGAAGATTTTAAAGTCAAATGCGGGTTGATGGATTGTAATTCTTTGAGCGGTTTAATTTTGGATATAGCATACCTTGGTGACGTGATTAAAATAAAATGTTGAATTTTCCAGGAAAACTAAATTGATTTCTGTATGAAGCTAAGCTATTACGCTCATTCTTTCTCTTATGAAGACATGGAAAGAACAAAAGACTTGATAACTTATTTTTAACAATTGATTTAAAGCCTCGAATCGTGAATGTAGTTTATATTGCATTCTGGACGGTTATTTTTTCAAGCTTCAGACAAAACAAAAAAGTCTTTTGACGCATTTTAGACCGGAACCAGTTAGGGTTTATTTTCCTGGGTGGCTGCAATCCCGAATTGCTGGTGCAAGTGGTTGAAGAACTGGTCACGACTTGTGGAGGCTACACAAGTGCACAAATATGCAGCTTTGGTTTGATATAAAAACCCAAATAAATAATCATTACATAAACATGTGAACATCTCACTGATACTGAGCTTTTCTTTCGACTGTCATAGGCCATTGTCGAATCTGATGAGAAAATATTAATGTCCCTTCCAATAGAATTCGCCTTCATAATGATTCTTCATAACTGTCTTTGTGTGCGTATGCGTGTGTGTGCGTATGCGCGTGCGCGCGTGTGTGTGCGTGTGCGTATACCTGTTGGGTGGGTGTGTGGTGGGAGAAAGAGGGGGGTTGCCGATGAGGTGATGTCTTACACTGAAACTTTCAACCTTGGGTAACGGAAGGACGTGCATTGCCGCCTGCTTTCTCATCAATACATGTATGATAGGAGCCTAGAACAAGTTCTACACAATTCGGGGCGTGCAATGGGAAGCGTGGGCACGATTTCAACTAATGCAACTCGTGACGGACGAAATTTAAAACCTATATCAGATTTTTATCCGAGACGTGCGCCTTTTATTCGTAGAATTGTGAACTCACGAGTGCGACAATATCAAGGAATCGTATCTCGAATTCGCATGGCTCCTCTGTCACTCATTTTGTTTCTTTTCTTATATCATATTTAGCTTCTTTCAAATTATTTCGTTTGGGTTATTTCAGTTTTATCATCATCATCACAACTGTCATTATTTTATTTATTTATTTATTTATTTATTTATTTATTTAACCGTCCGTTTGTTTGTTTGTTTGTAATTTTGTATAGCCTATATCCACGTGTATTCTGTGTTGTTGGAATGCTTGTTAGGGTTTGCAGAAATTTTGTCATTAAGTGTGTCAGTTTCCGAGGTGATTCCGATTTTTTATGGGAGAAAGCTTTCTCACGCAGTATGTTACTGAGTACAATGATATTAAGGCCTCCGAAGGGAATGCCGTTCACTAAGTACGAAAATAATTATAATGACCTGCATTTTTGACAGGTGTTCATTATATAATAAAGCCCAATGTTTTACCCATTATAAAAAGAGATTAATGGTGCATAAAATCAACAATTTTTGGAGCATAAAGAAGCAAAATGACGATAGCAGGAATAAAACGGCAAAGACTCAATTTATGTAAAATAAAGGGATAAAGACATTGATTGTACACCAACAGTGGCAGATATCACAATTTCTGACCCATTTATGAGTTTGTAGTTATATTTTGCACTCGAGAGATAAATAGTATTGCAAAAAAACTCAATTTATGTAAAATAAAGGGATAAAGGCATTGATTGTACACCAACAGTGGCAGATATCACAATTTCTGACCCATTTATGAGTTTGTAGTTATATTTTGCACTCGAGAGATAAATAGTATTGCAGAAAAACTCAATTTATGTAAAATAAAGAAATAAAGGCATTGATTGTACACCAACAGTGGCAGATATCACAATTTCTGACCCATTTATGTGTTTGTAGTTATATTTTATACTCAGAGATAAATAGTATTGCAGAAAAATGATGAAAGCAGATAAGAAAAGATGGCGACAAATCGATCAGATGTTTGTTTTATCATAAGAACTGGATAAAAAGAAATTAAAAAGGCCACAATTGTGCGTGTTTCATCTAGCTTTTAATAAGTACCGTCTGCATTAATTCATTCATTCATAGATTTTTCGCTTTTTATAAATTTGCATAGCCAATGCTCTTTTTGCTACATCTACCTAAGGCTTTTTGTTATGATTCTACGGGCTGCGTATTTCGAATACACTGATGAAGCCTTGTCATACGTGTACTATGAATAATAGCATTGGGACCGCCTTTCATGGCGATTAAATATTCATGATGATTTTGTTACGAGGCGGCAGTAAAATCTCTGCTGAATAGGAGTTCATCGTGACATCGTCATTACAAATGGAAAACTCTTATTAAGCATTCTTTTAGAAGGACAATGATAAAGGGACCGGTAAAATGCTGTTGGCCGACTTTGAAGATACATCATAGATTACTAAACGTAATTTACGAAGAGGTTTATCATAGGGGTTAATTTTGCGCAAACCTTCATTATTATAGTAAATTATGGATTGGGGCAAGAGTAACACGTGGATTATACGTAATACATGTAGATGATACTCATTATTGTTTATTATGAAGAGAGAGGTACATCCAAACGTATATTTCCATTAAAAATGAAAGACGTCTCTCCGTAAATGGTACTCAAACATTATTCATTTAATAATACCGATTTCCACATTCAGGAAGGCTTGTTGACTAGAAAGAAAGAATGTTAGAGAAAGAAAGGCAGACGAGAGACCGTGTACCGCTGCTTTTTGAGTGTTGAACCCGCGTTAAGAGGCAACACACGTTACGCGTTTTCTGAATCTATCTGTCAATTTTTTTTACTATCGATCTCCTTTGTTTCCGCGTTTTATTCTATTTTATTCTATTATTAATAACATTATTCTGTTGCTAATAACATAGTAAGTAATAGGACCACGTATTCTGATAACAAAAATGCTTAAATAATGGCGAATATAGACTGGATCCTGCCTGTTAGGTGACATTATAATCCGCCGAGGCGTTTTTTGCCTGCGTCCGAGATTTTATACAATGTGTCCCAGGCCCGTAGCCAGCAAATTCAAAAGGGGGGCTCTTTTCTGAAAAAGTGGACCTTTTACAATGAAACTTATGTGTACCTAGATAACATTTTACCCCAAATGGACCTTTTCCTGACAAAGGGGGCGGTTTTTTCTGACCCTCCGAACCCTGTGTCCCATGCCAGTGAAGAGGTTGGAGAAGGATTGGATGATCGAATCACAACTTTATAACTAGGCCTACAACGTGGAAGAAAATGACCTTGGGTGAACAGAAGTACATGTATTTTGATAGACGATATGCTATTCTGCCTATTGGGTCACTCTCATTTTGGGGGCGGAATTCGAAATAAATGAAAATGTGTACCATATGGTAGAAATATCATCTTTTATCCGACTCGTCATTCCATTGTTGAGTGATAACGTTCTCTCATTCACTTCATACAATACGTTATCATTTGTTATGAATTTTTTAATTATTTTTATCAATAAGCATTATGTCGTTTCATCAATCAAGGCTACGTTCCTTTCATACAATAATTTGAATTAAATGCTTAAAAGCATTACTGTAAGCAGCATATATTGCCATAGTCTAGAAGTGAAATATTTCGTTGGACAAGAGCAGTTAACCTATGGCCAACGGGAACAATAAATTACGTCAGCTTCCTCATGGAAGATGTGACCAACAGACTTAATGATTAGGATATCAATAACCGCCCGCTTCTCGGCTTTCAATAGAACAATGCCGACCGCTTAACTTTGTTCACCTGCGTCTCTAGAGGGGATTGCCCCGCTTTGTCCGCGCCTTAATAAACAACCGCTATCGCTAACATTACCGAACAAACTGATAATGGGCCTTGTCGCAGGCATTAAACCAGCTGCTCAGAGCAAGTACTTAAGTTGACCTTCGATTACGCGTCGTCCGCATTTTATGACTACAAAAGAGCAGAGGCTGGGCTACCGGGCACCTTGCCACCGAGCGCAGGAAAGGTTTCTTTCCAAGAATGACTTAGTTTTCAATTGAACAGATGAGCATCATTTCCTTTAATTGTTCACCTGATGCCTTGATATTATCTGTCAGAGTTAAGGTAAAGCGTGAGTCTATGTTATAGGAGCTGTCTCGTTTGATTATCTACCTTGTACAAAGCAAACACAGCGGTAGTGAATCGGAGACTGTACACACAGACCGCATTGATCGTTAACGTGGCGCACGCGGCTCGTGAAAGCACGGCGACGTGGCACGCGTAGATCGACACTTGTATATGCAAAGTTGGTCAAACAGATTCCATGTTTTTTGTTTTGGAACATGTATTTAAGGCAGCGACTGTGGACTGAATGTCACTTTGAGCTCTATTCTACTTCGTGCCTGGGTCTTCGTCCTGTCATGATCATTCTACGGGCTGACGTTGAAACTATACCGTTTAATCGTGTAAGTAATTGCAGTATTAAAAAATATCAAAAGCACCCAGATGAGATAATTCGTACACACCATTTACGTTTTTTTTCGATTGTTTAAAAATGTGTGTGCATTTCCTCTTTATTCAAAGAATAATTTGCGAACGCAATCTCGAAACACTCCCGGGGCATACTTTCAGCATACGGGCCTTACGATGTTCGGAAAATTCATTTCGTTTCAAAATTGTCACAGTAAGTACGCTACGAGTATATTATGCGGGACGGAAAATTTCATTTAACTGCATACAATTTCCTGGGAAATTACAGATGATGGTATAAACTGTGTGCCACGTGTTTCACTTAATGACGCCGTTCCTGGACGCGAAGTCAACGTCGACCATTTTGATCTTGACACTCCAAGCTGAAAGACGCGCGTGGACAGAAGAGGCCAGCCGTTCGGAGTGGCAGAATGCAACTCCTACAGGAGTCGTATTTTCTTTGTACTTAGACTTTGTTTCATAGCAGGTAAGATGCCTAAGTTTGCTCCATAAGGTGACGTCGCTGAAACATCTGGTAAACCACAGTGACATACATGTACATGTTCTTCGTCGAGTGCGCGATCAAATTTAGGCGTGGCGCGCTCACTTGCTGCATTTGTTATCGGTGACGCTTCTATCAGCTTTGTATAATTTAATAAGTTTTGGAATCAAGTGCAGATATTTTATCGACTGGAACTGTATATATCGTGATACACGCTGTACAACGTTAGGACTTTATCTGACCAGCTGTGTGACGATTATATGTTGTATAATTTTTATTGAAACGTGAGATAAGGCAATATGGCATGCTTATATATCTCAGACAGTAAAAACCCAAGAGCAAAATTTTCGTATATTATTTCCAAAAAAAGGCCATATTTATTTAGTGAATATGTCTAATTACTTATTTTTTCATCATTTGATAGATTACCGAATTAAAGTTACAGATACAATATTAAAGCTCAGCGCAAACGCAGCAGTCAGTGCATTGAAGATTTGCCAATACCGCATGCTGTCCATCATAAAACAGTTGAGGCAGTAAACCTCTGCGCCATTAGCAAAACGCACACAGCATTTACTACGATGTCGTGTTCCCCACGGATTATCACCCGAATTAATTGACTTTGATGGACATGTCTTTTGTTCTACCGTTTGCTATGGGGGAAAGCGATTTAGTGATTGATATAGCTCACCGGTTGTTAATGTTATCAATTTTTCTATAGTCAATTAAATATAGGTACTGATAAACAGAAGGTTGGTCAAAAGTGACGAGATACGTGTATTGTCCACATAGCACGGTGAATCGGTGAGAGGTGATAAAGTTGATCAATTCGAACGGGCAAGCGCATGCTCTCACTAGAGAGCAGAGGGGGGGGGGGGGGGTGAAAGAGGACATCGCCGCTTTTAAATCAAAGATGCCAAGCCTTCTTTTAACACGTCATCATTACATTTTCAGTAATTTTTTTTCATCGTGCCTGTATGCAAATAATATTCTAGTCACTCGTGGCATATTTTATAAAACTATTTCCGCTTTGCAGTGATCAACGTCCAGGCTATGGAAAGATTAATGATGGAGCCCGCACTGCTATAGAAAAAGATAATGAAAACACCGATTTTTTTAAATTATTAAACTCATGGTTAATAAATAATCTTAGGCATTGCATAATTAAAAACAAATAAATTAATTAATTAAAAGACAGAGTTCATCAAACGTTTTCGATAGCAATATACTGTAGGGCCTATGGCCATGCATCATCCAATAATGAACTAACTGAACGTTATTTTAAAGCGTTTGAATAATTAAAATTCACTTTGATTGCACATTGAATACACCAGGAAGAAAATATATTGCATGTAGCCATCTAGCATGTTCATCCACCTATGACACTTCTCGCCGGCTTCATGGTCAACGCAGAGCTCTATGAAGATCGCGCAATATGTCCTTGTCTCGTTTCCAGTTAATTGTTTCCATTTGAGTCGTGCCTTTGATCGATCACCAGCGTTGCTTTTGAATGAGCCCGAGATGACTTTGGTTAATACGGAGTTTAATCTCTATCTAATTGTGTCGATGATTCATATCTCACGGTCCCAGATATATTACCTAGTTTCAGTGGCACTCATTTATATAGCTTACTATCGGCAACTGACAAATAGCTACTAGATTCCCGGAACTTAATAATATCACAATAATTGATTCATTCCAATATGGGCGACGATGTAAGGATGAATGAACATGTTAATTGCTGGAGCACTGTTCATTTTACGCATGGCCGGCTACTGAGACTGGCGTATGATTTCATCATGTTAGACTAGTGTATTCTGAGGGATAGCCATTTTCAACGAATTAATATTTGACAATGTTGACGCGAATTTGTCATTCTGTTTTTAGATATGGATCTTTGATTAAAAATATATATTTTTTATTTTTGATATATACATATATACAAGGGAAGCACACCCTGATTATTCATTTCTGGAAAATAGCATTGAGCAGCTTGAAACCTTATCAGACGAACTACGGTAGGAAGTCTAGAAAGGGGGGGGGGGGGGGTAGATAGGTCGCGATGTAGAAGAAAAGAAGAAAGCCAGAAGATATAATGTTTGTGTATTGCTGAGCCTACATTAAACGCTCGCATCCAAAAGCGGGATGAAACATGGTGGAAACACATGGGTAATTAATGTACCTAATATCAATTATAAACTAAAATTGTGGACGTCTTGGCTGACGAAATTGATGCAGACCACTGGCGCCTCCCATCTGAAAGAACCCGAACCTCTTCACCAGGTCTTAGCTGCTGGTTTCACGATTATCGAACATTTTGACTTTGATTGTTCGTTGTCGTCGAAACCTGCCTCGAAGCACCTGACTTCATCTGACATGAGAACCCTGGACGAGAATGGAAGAATCGTGACAAGTGGCTCGACACTGGCTGTATATATTATCTTTTATGTACCCTTATATCGGCCTAACTGATAGATTTAAAGTACGGCGGATTGCACTAAAAACCAAGCTAGGACGTGCATTCAAATACAAGATACTACAACGTTAATACAGCCCCCCCCCCCAAAAAAAAAAAAACAAAAAAAAGATAAATGAATCAAAGAAAGAAAAGATATTTGAAAAAAAAAAAAGGAATGGGTTAATTATGCTTCAATGAAATTTTATGTGAAAGTCCTCCTAATTCATGTTCCCGTACCCATGACACGTATAAGATTTGGCAAGAAAGCTTTTAAAGCATCTATATTCCTGTCAGGAAAATTAAAAAAAAAAAAAAGGTGATAGCTCTATACAATGTCGGAACGTAATGTTTATTATTCCCTTGTAGGGCCTATATATGATAGCTTAAGTCCTGACTGCCGCAGCCTCTATTCAGCTAATCTGAACATTATATTTATAAATCAAGATGCATCTACATTTTATATTACACTGATATTAATAATGTCACATGAAACATTTTGAGCAATTTGTGTATGTTTTTTTCTTCACCCTGTTCGTAAATCACGATAGTTCGGTCAAGCATGCAACGGACGTAGCTTCACTGAAGAGAATTGAAACACTCTTTATCAGAAGTTTGTGTTTAGGTGTTTACAGGGATGATTTGGCGTGGCGTCCGGGGGGGGGGGGGGCGCCTAGGTCAGTGATATTTTTGATAGTCGGAAAAATCTCAGTGTTCCAATAGATTAGAATTGGAAACTGGATTGAGGAGAAAAAAACCCGGCTGATCAGCATTTTTTAATATTATCACCGATAGGCCTACTCCAGAACTAAACGTCTCATTTCGATATTGTTTTCTTGACCAGCGATCTTGAAGTATGGCACTATAGGGAGGCCAGAAGAGTTATTGAGCTAAAAATTAAATGTGACAGAGGCTTCATGATATTATAAAATGAACTTTTATTGAAAAACAATGGATAGTTTTGAACTCACTAATAGGCCTACCTGAATGACTGGATTTATGTAAGGCCCATATTTCCTTTAGACCTACAACGGAATGATCGATCTAGTTGAAGAATGTACAAATGAGAGACAGTCACACCCTAGAGACAAGGCCTAAACAGTCTCGATGTACTCAAGTCTTCTAAACTCGTTCTTTTTATAGGCCCTATCTCTTATTCAAACTTCATCTTGAGGCCTTACACGTTACCGTAGGCCTACCATGGTTACCGTAAAAATAATTTACCCTTCTCTCCAATTTTCTCTTCCCCCTCCCCTCAGTCTTCGAATTCTTAACATAGGATTATATAGACCTATAGACATCTAAAGACCCCTCTGCCTATTTAGGGCAAACAATGCAGAGTGAAATTTTCTCAGAATGCTGAATTTTCCCTGGCATATATTTTTCGGAATTTTGCATCCTGCAACGATGAATGATATCAAACATATATATTTATATTTAAAAAAATTAATATTTAAGTGTCAAGCGATCCATTCTACTTGGTACTTGTGTCGAATTTCTTATGGCAAGCCNATTCCTACAGGAGTCGTATTTTCTTTGTACTTCGACTTTGTTTCATAGCAGGTAAGATGCCTAAGTTTGCTCCATAAGGTGACGTCGCTGAAACATCTGGTAAACAACAGTAACATACATGTACGTGTTCTTCGTCGAGTGCGCGATCAAATTTAGGCGTGGCGCGCTCACTTGCTGCATTTGTTATCGGTGACGCTTCTATCAGCTTTGTATAATTTAATAAGTTTTGGAATCAAGTGCAGATATTTTATTGACTGGAACTGTATATATCGTGATACACGCTGTACAACGTTAGGACTTTATCTGACCAGCTGCGTGACGATTATATGTTGTATAATTTTTATTGAAACGTGAGATAAGGCAATATGGCATGCTTATATATCTCAGACAGTAAAAACCCAAGTGCAAATATTTCGTATATTATTTCCAGAAAAGGCCATATTTATTTAGTGAATATGTCTTTTTTTTGGGGGGGTCATCATTTGATAGATTACCGAATTAAAGTTGCAGATACAATATTAAAGCTCAGAGCATACGCAGCAGTCAGCGCATTGAAGATTTGCCAATACCGCATGCTGTCCATCATAAAACAGTTGAGGCAGTAAACCTCTGCGCCATTAGCAAAACGCACACAACATTTACTACGATGCCGTGTTCCCCACGGATTATTGACAAGAAATATCACCCGAATTAATTGACTTTGATGGACATGTCTTTTGTTCTACCGTTTGCTATTGGGGGAAAGCGATTTAGTGATTGATATAGCTCACCGGTTGTTAATGTTATCAATTTTTCTATAGTCAATTAAATAAAGGTACTGATAAACAGAAGGTTGGTCAAAAGTGACGAGATACGTGTATTGTCCACATAGCATTGTGAATCGGTGAGAGGTGATAAAGTTGATCAATTCAAACGGGCAAGCGCATGCTCTCATCAGAGAGCAGAAGGGGGGGGGGGAAGAGGACATCGCCGCTTTTAAATCAAAGATGCCAAGCCTTCTTTTAACACGTCATCATTACATTTTCAGTAATTTTTTTCATCGTGCCTGTATGCAAATAATATTCTAGTCACTCGTGGAATATTTTATAAAACTATTTCCGCTTTGCAGTGATCAACGTCCAGGCTATGGAAAGATTAATGATGGAGCCCGCACTGGTATAGAAAAAGATAATGAAAACACCGATTTTTTTAAATTATTAAACTCATGGTTAATAAATAATCTTAGGCATTGCATAATTAAAAACAAATAAATAAATTAATTAAAAGACAGAGTTCATCAAACGTTTTCGATAGCAATATACTGTAGGGCCTATGGCCATCATCCAATAATGAACTAACTGAACGTTATTTTAAATCGTTTGAATAATTAAAATTCACTTTGATTGCACATTGAATATATCCAGGAAGAAAATATATTGCATGTAGCCATCTAGCATGTTCATCCACCTATGACACTTCTCTCCAGCTTCATGGTCAACGCAGAGCTCTATGAAGATCGCGCAATATGTCCTTGTCTCGTTCCCAGTTAATTGTTTCCATTTGAGCCGTGCCTTTGATCGATCACCAGCGTTGCTTTTGAATGAGCCCGAGATGACTTTGGTTAATACGGAGTTTAATCTCTATCTAATTGTGTCGATGATTCATATCTCACGGTCCCAGATATATTTCCTAGTTTCAGTGGCACTCAGTTATATAGCTTACTATCGGCAACTGACAAATAGCTGCTAGATTCCCGGAACTTAATAATATCACAATAATTGATTCATTCCAATATGGGCGACGATGTAAGGATGAATGAACATGTTAATTGCTGGAACACTGTTCATTTTACGCATGGCCGGCTACTGAGACTGGCGTATGATTTCATCATGTTAGACTAGTGTATTCTGAGGGATAGCCATTTTCAACGAATTAATTTTTGACAATGTTAATGCGAATTTGTCATTCTGTTTTTAGATATGGATCTTTGATTAAAAATATATTATTTATTTTTGATATATACATATATACAAGGGAAGCACACCCTGATTATTCATTTCTGGAAAATAGCATTGAGCAGCAAGGCTTGAAACCTTATCAGACGAACTAGGTCGTCTAGGAAGGGGGGGGTAGATAGGTCGCGATGTGGAAGAAAAGAAGAAAGTCAGAAGATATAATGCTTGTGTATTGCTGAGCCTACATTAAACGCTTGCAGCCAAAAGCGGGATGAAACATGGCGGAAACACATGGGTAATTAATGTACCTAATATCAATTATAAACTAAAATTGTGGACGTCTTGGCTGACGAAATTGATGCAGACCACTGGCGCCTCCCATCTGAAAGAACCCGAACCTCTTCACCAGGTCTTAGCTGCTGGTTTCACGATTATCGAACATTTTGACTTTGATTGTTCGTTGTCGTCGAAACCTGCCTCGAAGCACCTGACTTCATCTGACATGAAAACCCTGGACGAGAATGGAAGAATCGTGACAAGTGGCTCTACACTGGCTGTATATATTATCTTTTATGTACCCTTATATCGGCCCAACTGATAGATTTAAAGTACGGCGAATTGCACTAAAAACCAAGCTAGGACGTGCATTCAAATACAAGATACTACAACGTTAATACAGCCCCCCCCCCCCCAAAAAAAAAAAAGATAAATGAATCAAAGAAAGAAAAGATATTTGAAAAAAAAAAGGAATGAGTTAATTATGCTTCAATGAAATTTTATGTGAAAGTCCTAATTCATGTTCACGTACCCATGACACGTATAAGATTTGGCAAGAAAGCTTTTAAAGCATCTATATTCCTGTCAGGAAAATTAAAAAAAAAAAAAGGTGATAGCTCTATACAATGTCGGAACGTAATGTTTATTATTCCCTTGTAGGGCCTATATATGAATAGCTTAAGTCCTGACTGCCGCAGCCTCTATTCAGCTAATCTGAACATTATATTTATAAATCAAGATGCATCTACATTTTATATTACACTGATATTACTTATGTCACATGAAACATTTTGAGCAATTTGTGTATGTTTTTTCTTCACCCTGTAAGAAAATCACGATAGTTCGGTCAAGCATGCAACGGACGTAGCTTCACTGAAACACTCCTTATATCAGAAGTTTGTGTTTAGGTGTTTACAGAGATGATTTGGCGTGGCTTCCGGGGGGGGGGAGCTAGGTCAGTGATATTTTTGATAGTCGGAAAAATCTCAGTGTTCCAATAGATTAGAATTGGAAACTGGATTGAGGAGAAAAAAACCCGGCTGATCAGCATTTTTTAATATTATCACCGATAGGCCTACTCCAGAACTAAACGTCTCATTTCGATATTGTTTTCTTGACCAGCGATCTTGAAGTATGGCACTATAGGGAGGCCAGAAGAGTTATTGAGCTAAAAATTAAATGTGCCAGAGGCTTCATGATATTGTAAAATGAACTTTTATTGAAAAACAATGGATAGTTTTGAACTCACTAATAGGCCTACCTGAATGACTGGATTTATGTAAGGCCCATATATTTCCTTTAGACCTACAACGGAATGATCGATCTAGTTGAAGAATGTACAAATGAGAGACAGTCACACCCTAGAGACAAGGCCTAAACAGTCTCGATGTACTCAAGTCTTCTAAACTCGTTCTTTTTATAGGCTAGGCCCTATCTCTTATTCAAACTTCATCTTGAGGCCTTACGTTACCGTAGGCCTACCATGGTTACCGTAAAAATAAATTACCCTTCTCTCCAATCTTCGCTTCCCCCTCCCCACAGTCTTCGAATTCTTAACATAGGATTATATAGACCTATAGCCTAGACATCTAAAGACCCCTCTTCCTATTTAGGGCAAACAATATGGAGAGTGAAATTTTCTCAGAATGCTGAATTTTCCCTCACATATATTTTTCGGAATTTTGCATCCTGCAACGATGAATGAAATCAAACATATATATTTATATTAAAACATTAATATTTAAGTGTCAAGTTGAAGCGATCCATTCTATTTGGTACTTGTGTCGAATTTCTTATGGCAAGCCCCCCC